GACGAGGAGGTCGCGCCCCGGCTCCACGACCAAGAAGAAGTCGGCACATCCGCGGGCGCCACCGGAAGCGAGGAAGAGTAGTGTACGATAGGTTGCCACCACTCGTTTCCTAGGAAGGCCACCGCTCCTCCCCTCCCATCGACGCCAAGCTTGGTGGGCTGAGTATCTTCTCCCGACTAGTTGCTTGGCGGCGACGTTGAGGTGGACAACTTCAGTTCCCGAGGCTCCAGAGGCGGAGCTGGAGAGCGCCAAGGCGCAACTGGGGACAATTAAGCTTCGGTTCTTGGGGCTGATGGCCGGACACAAGGACCGGACGTCAGCGATCATTTAGATTAGGTATTAATTATACTACAGACGACCTAGCACCGCTTTGATGTATTTGTAATGAAATCTGTCATGTTTATATGAAATCCGGCCGTGTTTATATGAAATCCGGACTTGTTTGAATGTATTTCGTCCGGTTGGTTCAAATTATTGTGAAAATGTATGCGGCTATGGTTGGATGGCGTCCTGCCACATCCGTGTCCGCAGACTAATCCCCCCTGTCCGAGGATGGATGCAGGAGAAAATTTATGGGTTGCCGCTGGAGATGCCCTAAGGTCACTGATGCACACATGCAAGATCCTTTATTTACTTGATCATGGTATATATCATCATCAGTGCAAGTTAGAGCATCTCCAGTCGATGATAGCTATTTTGGTCGCTTCACCGACGTCTCCGGACATGTCCGCGGATAGTGACCGGTAATACATCAGATTTTCTCTTCTACAACCGGATACGATATTATAGAATCCTTAAATCCATACAATTACATGCAACTTAGAACCTAGTCTAAAGTTTTCTCTGCACTCGTTCGCCTTCATGTTTGTGTCTGTGTCCAGCGGCAATGAGCCGCCCATGAAGTGAAGCTCTGGTCGTCGGCATGGTAGAGTAGGACATGAGACACAGACCGTCTCATGGGACTTGAGGTGCCACCATCTCACATACCCTACTATTCCTCGTAGCTTCCCATGGCATGGACGCCACCGGTCGATGTGAATTCCGTGATAGACCCCTCTTTGTTGTAGCCCGACACCTTCACCACGACGCGATTTGCGATGCCGGTGGTGCCAGTCACCCATAGAGGCTCAACCGCAGAGTGTGACTTAGCCTATGCGGCCTCCCGCATCCCTTGCCTCGCACGAGGGGCACTCCGCTCCATGTTAGCGGACGGGCCATGGCTCGTGCCGGCGTTTACCTCCGACTCGGAGACCATGGGGTTGGCATGCCTCGAAGGGGTTGCGTTGCTGCTGTGACATTGGGGCGCCATATGAACCGCGACACCTCCACGCGAGGCAATGGGCAAGTGCCTCCCGCCACAACGCCTTTTGCAGAAACAATGGATTCCCTCTGGATCGAGTCCGACTACTGTCAGGTGGACTCCTCCCATGAGCGGTAGAGAGCAATGCAGACGACCATCTCCTCCTCATGCCCGCATGGGACGAGGTTCCAGTGCACATATCAGAAGTGATCAGAGTTGGATCCGCCGCCGACAATGCCAAAGAAGGCCAGAGATCGTCAGAATGGTGCTTGGTGCGGAGATGGAGTGGTGTGAAGTGGACGGGGATGAGGACGAATATATACGGAATTGGATGGGCGAGAGTGTGTTGGATCTGACCCGTCCGGGTCTTCTTATGTCCACCCAGATTTAGGCGCAGCCTGGACGGGCCAATATAAAGGTTGCGACTGAGTCAGAATTTTATGACCAGGCCATTTGTCCGGCCGTAGTTTGGGGAGCGGCAAAAGGCACAAATTTGACCTCAGGTCAAAACTATTTCACAAACTAAACTGTTCTTGAAAGTATTTCACCCGGCTGACCTTTAATGTGTAGCGCCTGACATTAAGGCGCTGCACTCTACTGTGCAACGCCTAACACTTAGGCGCCACACTGTGCAGCGCCTAGCTCTAAGGAGTTGCACTACACTGTGCAGCGCCTAGCTGTAAGGAGTTGCACAGTAGAGTGTAGCGCCTTGTTGTCGGGCGCTGCACAAAAGGGTCAGCAGTGTGAAATATTTTCTAAAATAGTTTAGTTTGTGAAATACTTTTGTTTTAAGGTCAAATTTGCCAATTTTACCTTGAGGAGCCTGGCTGGACCATATGCACTCTCTCACAGCTTATGGTGAAGCGCACTAGCAGGATGAGATTAAACGAGGTTGATGGATCGATTTTGACCAGTGTGACACGCTAGTACTTCCGAAAATACTTATTGTCAAAATGGATAAAAGAAGATGTATTTAGATGTATTTTAGTTCTAAATATATCTTTTTTTATCTATTTTGATGATAAGTATTTTCGGAGGAGAGAGTACTTTGCTAGGTTAAGCTAGAATCCAAAAAGAGCTAGAAAGCGGATCGATTGCTTTGTTTCCGACGGGCTATATATACTTACGCATGCATGTACTTGATGTATGAAGCACCAGAAGGAGCTTAGGACCGAGCTATGTGTGGATACATGCATAGGACCGCGGGCCAGGGCTAGGCACCACAGACTATGGCGTCTTCCATCTAATCAAGACGACATGGTTGCTGACGTTTCGAAAAGGATAATATACCAAAAAAATTAAAGTAGGGTTAAATCATGCTAAAGTTTTAATAATGAATCAAAACAGTAAAAAAAGTCCCAAATGGGTCGCCATGTTTTTTTTTTTTGAATGTTAAATGGGTCGCCATGTTGAGTGCGTCTGGCTATGAGATGACGGATACGAGACAGACGTCTGTCTGCTTAAGTGCCCATTGCGTTTGTTCAGGTTGGCACCGTTTGAGTTGCTCTTATCTGGTCATAGTGGGGAGTAACTTATACTAATGTTATGCATATGGGAAATGCACAAAAACATTTGGGTGCTTCACCCCCTATATGAATATGAAATTCAAAACATACCAAGAAAAATCAATAAAATCTGAGATCTTAGAATATCAAACCTATGTGCCCAATCTACTCCCGTATAAAGTTTCATAAAAAAATATTAAGAAATGTATCCGTGACGAAGAAAATACAGTCTAATCTATAATCCACCTAAACAGGTTTTTTTTACATAGGAATTTTTTGTCTTTTCTACCGAAAGTACCACAAATGTCATTTTTTCGCTAAAATTTGCACGGAAGTAGATTGGGCACCCAAGTTTGATATCCCACAATCTTAGATTTGTTTTTGAATTTTCTTAGTACTTTTTTTGAATTTAAAGTTCATATAGGGGGTGGAGCACCCGGAAGCCAAAAATCCACGTCCCATGCATATGACATTAGTCTAAGTTACTACCTCTATAGTGTAAAGTAACATAATAATAGTGTCATAGGTTGCTTTATTTATTAGCTCATAGACTCATTTTGCCTTGGGAAGCGCTATGTTACAGTAACATACTCCCTCTGACCGGAAATACTTGTCATCAAAATGAAAAATGATGTATCTAGAATTAAAATACGTCTAGATACATCTTCTTTTATTTATTTTGATAATAAGTATTTTCGAACGGAGGAAGTATTATGTTACCACAAGCACATTTTCCTCATTAAATACTTGCAACGGACATGCTTCTTTGTTAGTGCTAGTTCTTAAGGCTGGTCATAGTGGGAGTAACATAGGTAGTAACATAGATGCCACATAAGCAAAATTGATGATGTGGCAAGTAGTTAATGAGGAGAGAGGCAAATAGAGTAACATAATATGTTACCATCACATAGCGGTTTCCAATGCATAATGAGTCTACAAAGTAATAAATGAAGACAACTATGTTACCACACCTATGACACTACCCACTATGAAGGTAGTAACATAGACTAGTAACATATGTATGTTACTAGTCTAAGTTACTCTCCACTATGACCAGCCTAAAAGGAAGTGCTAAAAAGTTAAAAGAAGAAATACCAACAGTCCAGACCGTAGATGCTTCTAGGAACGACCACAGACAGGCTCCGACCCCACATGACAGCGTGGGAGATTATGCCGGGCTGGAGAGGAAGAGAGAGAGACGGCAGTGAACTGGTCAGCCGTCAGAGCGACGAGTGAGGCTGGATGGACGGGATTGGGAACGGGATAGGCACGAGCGGAATTCGGCAAACCCAAAACCGTTATCGCCTCCGCCATTGACTCTTCTCTCGAATCCAAAGCGCACGGCACAAAAATCTTCCCGGTAATTTCTTTTCCATTTCATTCTCGGCGGCCTAGTCCTCTCCCTTTCCCTCCCCATCACCTTGGTCTTCCTTCCTCGATTCGATCCGAACCCATCCGATTCGGAAGAGAGGTACTCACTTGCCCCAACCATTTCGCGCGATCGAAGCAGGGCAAGCTCGACTTTGCGGCGCTAAATCGTCGGCAGCTAGTATCCCGCGCTGTGTGTTTCCCCCCGTTTGTTTGTGTTCAGGTGTTGGATTCATGGTATTTCGTGGGTTGGGTGGGTAGACCAGCGCTCGGGATTTTGTCTTGGTCGCGTCGACCTTGCCCGTGTTTCGGTTAGTTAAGGTTTTATTTACACTGGCTACTTTCCACTAGCCGGTGAGCTCATGCTCGTGTCTTGGCAGGGTCTGTTGATCTAATCTGTCACTAGTTTAGCTTGGACCTGGTTTGGGTGGGGGTGGGGTAGGACCTAGCGATCCTTTTGATGATTTTTGTCATTTCTATCTTTAGACAATGTGAAGGGGAGCTTTGGGGCAGTGGTAAAGCTGCTGCCTTGTGACCATGAGGTCATGGTTTCAAGTCCTGGAAACAGCCTCTTATAGAAATGTAGGGAAAGGCTGCGTACTATAGACCCAAAGTGGTCGGACCCTTCCTTGGACCCTGCGCAAGCGGGAGCTACATGCACCAGGTTGCCCTTTTTTATCTTTAGACAATGTGCCGCTCAACAGTTTGCTTGCTGCCAAGCACACCATTGATTCAGATTTGTGTGTTCCTGCTCCTTCCTCGTGTCTTTCTTTCTTTCTTGCACGGCGCGTTTGTCTTTATTCGCATGCTGTGTTTTGCAGGTGGTGATGCCGCTTGTGGAATCGCCTCAATGGCGCCGGAAGGCCACCGATTTCTTCTCTTCATCTAGTAAGTGCAGCCGTACTGTAACCCTCTCTTGCTTTTCTCTAGATCATGCTGTTTTCATGGCTACTCATCTCCATCTGGTGTATAACAACTAAATGTATACCATCCCGCCGTTTCAAGTAGGTCATTGTCTCGTGCACTTCTGAAATTACTTGAAATACTGTTTTGTGGCAGCACACAATATCTGTGTTCTAGTTATTTATATCGATTTCATACTATCTTGGGACACTGAATGTTGGGTGTGAATGTTTTTGGGGCAGGCTTCAAGCTGAAGCAGGCAGGGCAATCTGCAGGGGATAATATAGCTGATGTTGCCGGTAAGGTTGGAACAGTGGTGAAGAGTCGGTGGGCTATCTTCCAGGATGCTAGACAGCGACCGCCACAACCAGGAGATACTGTGCAGGAGCGCTTCATCTCTGCTGCTGCCAACACTGGAGTGATTCTGAGGAAGGGCATTTCAGAGACAAAGGAGAAGGTCGCGGTGGGAAAGGTTAAAGTTGAAGAGGTCTGTGCCTTGGGGCAAAATTTTACTTAAGTTTTTCTTTCTTCACTTGTAGCTTTAGTTGTTCCATCACAAATATGGAATTTATTATATGGTTCAAAAAAAAATGGAACACATGCTTTCTATGATTCCCCGTGTTACCAAAAAACACTTGGTGAGACTGACTTTTGTGGTTCGGCGTGATTCCTTGCAGGCTGCCAAAAAAACTGCGGACAAAAGCAAAACTATTTTGAACAATATTGAACGCTGGCAGAAGGTTTGTGATTTGAAGTTCTGTTACCTGGCACTTGGCAGTATTATCTCACTTTATTGGGGAAGTATGCTGATTCTTACTTTCTTATTGCTTTTCGCAGGGAGTTGCGAGCAATGATGGTGAGTTTACAGTTCATTGCCTTAAGAATTTATTTGGAATTCATATCTGTCATGGCTTTTAGCGCACCTACTTATATCATACTGGAAAAGTGGAAATTCTGCAGCTCTCAACATATATGTAGCTACATGATAAACGTGTTTCTTTGCTTGGCTTATTTTAACAAAATCTTCTATGCTATTCTGCATGTGTTGTTGTTCTGTCTGCCGATGATTAATGGTTGACATTTAAACTCATTGGTTGCCAATAACCTTGCCTTGTAAGCTTGCAGTTTTTGGTGTTCCTGTTGAAGCCACTGTACAACGGGAGCAATCTGGTAAAGCTGTGCCTCTGATACTGGTGAGGTGTGCAGACCACTTGGTTATATCAGGTGAAATCGCTGAAATTACAGACTGGTTTCTTACTACATATTTTGTACTGGATCTGACGGCTGAAACTATCTGATTAGGCTTGAGTAATGAGTACTTGTTCAAATCTGAAGGCGACAGAAAAGTTCTTCAGCAACTAGTTTCACTTTACAATGAGGGTAAGGGGGCACCCTTGTCACCTGACTCATATTCTGACTTAACTTTTCTAGCAAATTTTGTATTCTGGGTTTTATGAGTTTGTTGTTTGCAGATTCGGGCGCATCTTTGCCTGATGGTGTTAGCCCTATTGATGTAGCTGCACTGATCAAGTGCTACCTTGCCAGCATCCCCGAACCGCTTACAACATTTGCTCTTTATGATGAGCTTAAAGATGCGAGGGTTAGCATTGATGATCTTAAGAACATACTGAAGAAGCTTCCAAATGTGAACTACATGACACTAGAATTTGTTACAGCATTGCTACTAAGAGTAAGCCGTAAATCAGCACTCAACATGGTATGCCTCATCCCTTATTTTGGTACTTTATCCCTGCATTCTTTTTTTAGCTGTTTCTCTTTTGATGCTTCGGGACTGAAAAAAATTGGAACTAAAAATAGTAAAGTTCAACTTACTGCAGAATGTAAATCTATCAACATGATTGCTGGCATTCAGCAATGACTTTGACAACCACCCTTTAAATCTCATGAAGGACCAACATTGTTATTTTCTGACAAGGAAGGACTAATCTCCACCTAATATTGTTTCTTTACTGTGTACTTAACTAATGGCTCATGCATCACTTAGTCTTAGAAAATGGTATTTGACCTGCCGATTCTTGGTTTATGGTGCTAGTTTATTTTTGGTCCCCTTCTGTAACAACTCTCCAATAACAGCTAGATCTAGGGAAAATACATTCTACTATCAGGTGTAGTTACAGCCACATCTCATATGCTACAATGTGGTAGTATATCTACTACTTTATCATGTTGAGTATGTTCACATACCATATCTAAGGTTTTCCAAAGCGAGCTACATGAATTGTTTTGCAGGCGAGTCCATAGTTTTTAGTATATTTCGAAAATGACTTAATATTTGTACGTATAAAGCAGTATACTAAAAAATGTACACAATACTTAAAAAGTGGTATATATACTACTGATATATTCTTATATACAATACAACACATTACCCTTACATATACTCAGGTATGATAAATATTACCTAGAGTGAATGAAGCATATAATACACTGTACATGATTTAAAGCAACACTCAAATAAGCATGAACTACCTGTAAAATGTAGTAGAATGTATTGAACACTTAATCCATAAATCACTACTAGTATTTATAGAGTTATCCATGAAACCAAGTTGCTGATTGTATGTAGTAACCTTTTGATCACCGATGAGTGCCATTTCCTGTTTAGACATCACAAATCTTCACTGGGCCGCAATGTAATTGAAATGACTCTCAACATTAATTTTTTACTCTCCATTTGTAAATTTCAGTCACTTCTTGTCCAATTAGGAACACAAACATGCTCAATGTATTTTAGTAGAAGAGAACATGGTGATTCTTGAAAGCACCCTGGTCCCATTCCCCTGGTGGCAATCCTATTGCAACATCAGGCCCAGCCCACCGAAGACGCTGGGGGTGACAATTTTGCAAAGACCTCAAGCCCAGCCCACCGCAACTTGGCCCAGCGTGGAGCCCCACACGCCAGAACGCGCCCACCAGGGTCCTAGCCCGCCTGCAGTTGAGCGCTTCGCGTCCCCGCCGATCACCATGCGTCGGTCACGCGCTTGCTCCTCTGCGCCAGGCTCTCTGACGCTGGGTGAATTCCTAGCCGCCGCTACCAAGCACATTGTCGCGGCCCTGCCGACACCAGGGAGGAAACCGCGCAGGCCCCTCAACTTCACCCCCCGTCGCGGCCGCTCGGTGCCCACCGCCCACCGCAGAGACGTGCGCATGTCCAGATCCTGCGCACCCTGGGGATCATTGGGACGAATCAGAAGGTCACCCCAGTCGAGATGAAGGCCTATGACGGCATGTTTGCAGTGCCCATCCCACTCGCGGTGCTCAAGGCCATTGCCGCGCTGGTCGATCGCGAGATCCCAGCATGCCTGTCCAACCCGCCGATCGCACCGGCACATGTCAAGGTTGCATGCACGACCTAGGTGGTGCCTGCCCCCGCATCCCGTCGATCCACTATCCATGGATCACGGCCTTAAGATCGCTGTGTGGAACGTGCGTGGCCTGAACACGCGTAGCCGGCGTGTCGTCATCTGCTCGCTGCTGGACACCACCGCCACCTTCATTGTATGCTTGCAGGAAACTAAGATGGAGTTGCTCTGTTCTTCTATTGTTCTTGACACTCTCGGTTCAGAATTCAATGATTACACTCCCGACACTTGGCATGCGGGGTGGCATCCTGCTGGCTTGGAAGAGCAGGGCCGTGACTATCACATACCCATTGTTCACCACGAATGCCCTCTCGGCCAGAGTGGCCACGGCCTCGGGCACCCCCTGGTGGCTATCGGTCGTGTATGGACCCCAAGATGACGCGGACAAAATTGCGTTCTTGCTAGAGTTGTGGGAGATTCGCGCGGCTTGCCCCAGGCCATGGATGCTTTGTGGTGACTTCAACCTCATCCTGCGTGACGAGGACAAGAACAACAACAACTTGAACTGGCGCATGATGGGCAGGTTCTACCGCCTCGTCAACGACCTCGCGCTTGAGGAGGTCTACCTCAACGGGCGCCGCTTCACGTGGTCGAACGAGTAGTCCCCTTCCACCATGGTGCATCTGGATCGTGTGCTTTGCACCTCAGACTGGGAGGATGCACACGGCAAGTGTCATCTTCGCTGCCTCGCGTCCGTCGTTTTGGACCACTCCCCCTTTCTGCTGGACTGCTCTCCCATGCCCGCGGCGCATAGATGTTTTCACTTCGAGGACTCCTAGTTGAGGCTTGATGGTTTCCACGACACTGGCAGTGGCTTGGGGCTCGGTTCATGACCCGGACCCCTTTTCATCGTTTGATGTTGCGCCTTCAAGCTACAGCCCGTAGGCTTACCAGCTGGAGCGCCAAGTCCACCGGCAATATTCGCGACAAGTTGGCCATCTCTCGGGAGCTCATATCGCGCTTCGACAAGGCCCAGCAGGATCGCACACTTTCACCGGAGGAAGATTGGGTGCGAAAGCGCCTCAAGGTCTCATATCTTGGCCTCGCTTCGATGGAGCGTACCATCGCCAGGCAGCGCGCCCGCATTGCCATGCTCAAGGACGGCGATGCCAACACGGGCTTCTTCCACCGGCAGTGTCTCTTTCCTAGACAGAAGAATCGGATCTTCAGCTTGGCCGTGGATGGGCACGTGCTCACCGACCAGGACGCGATGGCGCAGGCTGCTTTCGCGCACTTCGATGGGATCCTGGGCACGGCCGTCAACCGTGATCTCACACTTGACTTGGAGGGGCTCATTGAGCCTTGTGACCTGTCGGGTCTGGACGCTCCTTTCAGCATGGAGGAGGTCTGGGACGCGATCAAACGCCTCCCCGCTTGCAAGGCACCGGGGCCTGACGGGTTTACTGCTGAGTTCTTGCGGGCTTGCTGGACCATTGTTCGGCAAGACTTTATGGATGTCTTCCAGCAGTTGTTCGAGATGAGAGGCCGTGGCTTTGGCAAGCTCAACCAAGCCCTCATGACCTTGCTGCCCAAACGAGCCGACGCCCAGCAGCTGCGTGACTACCGTCTGATCTGCTTGATACATCTTGTGGCCAAAATTTTCACCAAGGTCCTATCTTTGCGGCTTGCTCCCAGACTGGATAGCTTGGTCAGCCGCAACCACTGGAGCCTTCATGACAACTTCATTCTCGTGAGGCAATCTCTCAAGATGCTACACCAACTCGGGCCCCGCGGATTATGCTTATGCTCGACCTCACGCGCGCCTTTGACTCCATATCTTGGCCATTCCCCTTCAAGGTTTTGTGACAATATGGATTCGGGGAAAGATTCCAGGAGTGGCTCGCGATCCTGCTATCAACGTCCAGCACCCGTGTCATGATGAACGGAGAGTCAGGCCCCCCGATTTGGCACCGCAATGGCCTGCGACAGGGCGACTCTATGTCCCCCCAGCTGTTTGTTCTCGCTGTGGACACGCTCGGGCGGCTGATGCGCTGCGCTCTCGACGCTGGCATCTTGCAGCAGTTACATCCCCGACGCCCAATCCCGGCGATCTCCCTCTATGCGGACGATGTGATGCTCTTCTGCCATGTAACACCGGAGGACGTAGCCGCCGTCAAGGGTATCTTGACCCTGTTCGGCAAAGCGAGTGGGCTGCTGGTTAACTATGCGAAGAGCTCTGCCACCGTCCTACACGGCGACCTACAGGGACACGAGGTTATCGCCCAGTTGGGCTGCCCGGTGGTGCATCTACCCATCACCTACCTTGGCATCCCGCTGATGACGCACCGGCCTTCCGCCGCCCAGTTACAATCCCTCGTCGATACGGTGGCTGCCGGACTCCCTACCTGGAAGGCGTGGCTCATGAACAAAGCTGGGCGTCTTGCCCTTGTCAAATCGGTCCTCAACGCGATTCCCGCTGATGACGCACCGGCCTTCCGC